GATTCCCACTCCTACCCGCATGCACTGTTCGGTCTGTGTATACAGCTAAGGGATGAAACACAGACTACTGCATCATGAAATGTCTTCTTATAAATGACACCTAATTCCAATCTTTTTACTCCACTATTCTAATGGCCGTTACTTGTCTTTCTGATTTGGGTAGAGGAAGAAGGGGGGAGGGCTGGTATACAGCTCCCGTAGACCGAACTAATTCTAGCCCTAGCTCTGTAAACGTAATTCATGCATACCTAGATATTGAAGGGTTCATCGTTATCACAAGTTGAGACATGCCTGTGGTCAGTGGTAGCTGGCCGCCTGGAACCTGCTCTATCACTTTCGCCTCGTACCGAAGATCGTTTGTGGTGTTATCTGAATGCAGCAGTTGAATCGCGTTTGGATGCGGCAATTTTTGCCGTTCATGGCAACTCCTGTAGGACGGGCCATGAAATTGAAAGCGACGATCTTCATGTGGACTCGATTTTCGACGAAATTGCCACGGTTTGTGTTTGCTAGCACAGTGTTTTCACTAAAGTGCACATAGATTTGCGAAATTTGAAAACTGGATTGCCTTCACATAGTTTAAATATTTTATGGTTATGAAAAAGACTGTAACTAAAAAGTAATAATTGAAAATAAAAATAAAAAATTAAAAACTGAATTGAAATGTTTCGGTCTTGCAGCTTTTAAACCTCGATATTCGCTCAAATTTCTTTTCAATAAATAAATTTTTTCAGTGCATTGGTTTCAGAAGAAGATGTACATAGATTTGTGATATTTGAAAAATAGATTATCTTCACATGTATTTATATTTATATGAAGATAATCCAGTTTTATATTTAGTATTTATATTTAGCGCACAGACCAGTCGGTCTTTAGTTTTGACAGTTTTTCTTTCTTCACTGCATCTTATGCGCTCTAATGTCCATAGTTATATGTAATATGCGAATCTTGTCTTTAATCAAATCCCTAATTTTCCTGGGGAATTTTCGTAACACCTTACAACTTCTGCGATATCCCAACATCTCGCTAGGACAGTACTAAAGTAACTGCGAAGATGCGATCTTAAATAATATCCCTGCAAATTTTCAGCTTTCTACCTTGCCTGATTAGCGAAATTGTTTCCCGCCAACATATTTTTTGGGGGCCCGTACGCGGAGTGTAGGCGCGTGCGGGGAAGCATCTTGAAACGGGAGGATGACACACGGGATAATAAATACTGGTACACTTGCCGTCAAGGCGATCTGAAACCGGAAGGCTGTTTTTCACCTACTAATGAATAATTACCAATTGGGGGTACATTTGTGGAAAATGTGTATAAAATACAATGCATTCTGGATAATCGCCATTTCCACGTTTAAAATTTTGCTTGCTGAGGGCAAGCAGCTGAAGGAATCAGCTTCATTCTAGGAGAAACGGTTTGACCAATTTGTCGTCCTGAAGTAATTGTGTCCCTTTTTATAGTTTTTGGATGTGGAGGAAGTAAATCTAAATTTTGTTTTAGAAGTATTACGAAACTAGCTAGGATCAGAGGCTAACTAGGTAACTATAGAGGAATTGGCGTTTTGGGCATCTACATATGTACTTGAAATGCTCTCCAAACTATGCAGTTGACAACTTAAGACACTGCGACCGTCATACTGACGAGGCCCTGTCAAAGTGTTGGGTTAAAACGTATACGATTTAATGGACCGAAACGTCTGATCTCACTCTTGTCTTTTCATGTTGTTTTTTCGTGTCCTAATCTTCATGCCTCCACCATTTAGACTTCCGGGGTCAAAGTAGTTGCTGTAGTCGGCTTGTCCAGTGCCTTAACCTTGCTGGCGAACCTGGAATCTTATGTCGCCTCGAGCTTTTTCAACCCTGGAAGCCTAAGTAGCGAAGGGAAGGCTTCCAGCGCTGAAGAAGCTCGAATTTCAAGTATACGACTACCCGGCCGGAGATGTCCCCGCCACGTCTTCCCAAATGTTGCCACTTGTAGAAATAATCAACCCAGACGAGCTAATTTTTCGGCCAAGAATTGATCAAACGAAAATATGAATGTTTCTTTTTTGATGTTTTTTTTTTAAACGGAATTTTCAAAATTGATTATTTTATAGACTGAACAATCGCCATATTATACAATTTATCGACATTTGTTGAACAACGATTCGAAGAAACTGGTATCTTTCATCGATATGTGGCTGGATGAGCATGGAGACGATTCCGAAAAATTCCCACATATTTTGCGTTTTATGGCACATCTTGTCCTGCTTCTTCGCTTTACAAAACAGACAATTCAAGTAAATCACCTGTTTTTTTAATCTATGCTTTTAGCTTTGCTAAACATAATATATCGGTATATGACGATGTTCTATCCCGAAGAGACCGAGTTTTTTCTTACCCAAGTTTTATTATCCTAGCCTTCGTCGATCTGGAGTTGATCATAACAATTCATACATCCAATGGTACACTCCCTTATGGCCTTGGACAAAATATCACAGTTCTACTAGCGATCTAGGGCTTGGCAACTAATCCCTCTGTGATTCATTCATTCGTTTCGATGCTAAACTGGCAATAGTGCTTGCCGAGGAGTTATCAGATTACCTGTAGGTAGGTTAACCGTCCAAAAAGAAAGCATCGGCGGTTCAGCAAGCGGATCTTTGTTGTTGCCGGTCGTTTGAGTTACTTTGGTGCCTCATAAGATCCCATAGTTTGAACGTACGATCATGTGAACCGGATACCACTGTGAGCTTGCCTGATAAAATTTTACTGATGGAACTTTGTTACCACGACCTGTTAAGGAATGCCGAAATTTCTGAATTAAAATCTTTTAACCTGTACTTTCTTCAGTAAGTTGATCGGTTGTAGTTTTATCGTCGCATTCCTTCTTGCCACCATTGCAGCATTCTGCAGTTCCTCCATTTTCTTATACGTTTTTTTAAGCTTGCCGCATCCACGTAGCCCACACGGAAACACCAGATTACAGGTAATATGTCCTAATTTGTACATGGTAGAGCGTATCATTTACACATTCTTGAGAAGTTAGTTGCTTGTATAGGATGCTGCTCGTTACTTGTATGGATCACTCTGCCCTCCCGCACTATAGCACTTCTGCTCCGCTCTTCAGCCCCGCTCCACGTTACCCAATGGTTACACGAGCAATCGGGCTATATTGTATGAAAAAACCTTTTGGGCGTTAACTTGAACTCGATGCAACGATGGCCCACCAGTACAAGTAATCTACGGCAAATGCTCCATTATTACACTCAGAAGCAGTCGTTATTTGTATAAATGGGCAGGCACCGATGGGAATTGTTCGTTACTCGTTACTCGAGCATTACACGAGCAACACTGGGTGTTTACTTGAATCAGTTGCAATTACTCAAACCTTTGTAGTATGTTACGTATAATCTGATTTTTTGGTGTACATATGGACTGTCAAATGGTCCCTTTCTGAGTTATTGGTATTTTGCTTTTTATAACTTAGATAATCAGTTATTTCAATTACTTTCTTATTTTTCATTTTTGCTTGAAACTATTACTTTTTACATGCATTGCTGCAGTGGTGCAAGAACTTGAATACACTACAGTCACATTGAGCACACACCACACCGTTATTTTTTTTTAGGAAGAAATTGCTGATACAGTGATACTAACTTACGTAAATTTATTGATCTCATTAAAAATGCACTCAATTGTGCCATATTATGCCAGTAAACTACCTTCCATACTTGCCGAAGAAGTGGTTGTTGGGTTCATGAGCCGTAAGTTTTTTTCAGAAAAAAAGAAAATAATTTTTTCTTTTTCGCGATTTCCTTCTATCTATTCGTCCTATCTATTCATAATTACATAGAATTACAACCCATATCATATGTTGGTTTCCTCCACACTCTTATTACTTTCATGCTGTTGCACTTTTGCAATCTCTCTCTCTTTCTTTCACATTCCCGCCTTGCAAAATAAATGCCCTTTCAATACATGGTGGGTAGGAGGCTGTACTGACGATTCCCACTTCTACCCGTATGCATAGTCCGGTCTGTGTTTACAGCTAAGGGATGAAACACAGAGGCTGCATCGTAAAATGTCTTTTTG